TATATTTTTTCACTTTTCTCCTTCTTCCCCCAGTTAAATATGTTAATGAACAAGATGCAATCATTGCTGCATTATGCCATCGATCAATGAAGAAAAGTGAAACACCTCATGCTCTTGAAGCAAAAATCAATCTTATTACAACAAATGTATCAGCCAAATGCTCATGTGTGGCTGGCCTGGGTGGCTTCTGTCAACATGTCATAGGCTTGCTATTTCTACTAGCACATTGCAAACAGCTAGGACTGAAAAGTCTCCCAGATGAACTTACCAGTACAATGTTATCTCAGCCATGGCATATCCCAAGGGGTAAAACAATCCAACCCCAGCGTACTGATGATGATGTATTGGTAAAAAAGCCTCAACATGGAGCAAACTATCAAAAATTTATTCAAAGTTCTATCTACTCTCCATCTCCCCACTATCTTTTGTTGACAGGCCTAAATGAAATGGAAAAACTACAAGCCCTCAAACCTCAACCATTACTTTTTTCTTTGCTCACTGAAGTTCTACGTGCTGGAGCTACCAGYAGTCCAAACAAAATATGGCAGAGTAGCRCCAAAGGATCTRTACTATCTTATCAACAGGAACTGACATATCTACATATGTGATTAACAACTATGGCAATACAGAATATCCTGACTTACCTAATTTACTTTCACTTCATYCTACTCCAACWAGATTTTCTAATAACATATCAGTTTGTCTTGATTATWTGAAGAATGCTAAGCTCGAATCTTTATACATCACTAAAGAAATTGCACACATGATAGAAAACAAAACAAGAGACCAAAGTGAAAATGCTCTATGGCATTCACTAAGAACGAAGAGGATTACAGCAAGTAATTATGGAAGGGTTGCAAAAAGAATTGCCAATTTTGAAACTTTGAAAAAACAACTAATGCCATCAAGATATGTTCAAACAGCAGCAATGAAGAGGGGAATAGAAATGGAGGCAACTGCAGCTGGGATATATGCTACAAAGTTCAAGCATGACAAAGTTTATTTATTTCCCTGTGGTTTGGTCATTAATCCTGAGTGCCCTTGGCTTGGTTGTACACCATACAGAAAGGTTTTTGACATTGAAGAGG